AGATTGATCCAGACACTATAAACTAACAAATACCTGCTATAGAATCCTTTTAATATAATATGCTCATAGAGTAACCTTTTGTAAAAAGTGTGACTCCATGAATTATTGAAAAACCATGTTTAAATTCATTAGAAATTTTATATTATATATTTCTCCACAATTTATTAATAATGAGTTATGTTTTGAACTTAGAGGAGATTGTGTGTGTGTTTGTTGTTAGAAATGGTAATAATCTGCATAGACATAAGAAGGATTTATTATTCCAAAAGAATTTCAGCTACGGTGAGAGCTCGGATTCTTGACTGCAACAGAGAGTAATAATATAATAGCAAACACTTACATAGTTCTTTCTCTGGTCCACCCACTATCAAAAGCACTTTACAAATTTTATTGTAACAGGGAAGAAGTCACAATGAATGACAATCACTTATTTTCTTTAAGTATTTCTAACTTTAATCCACTTAATTTGTCCATGATTCATTTCTTGGAGGCTGGTCTGAACTGATCTGAAGATCCCTAAGTGGATCGAATGTTCTGTTTCTTTACATGGATGAAAAGTCTTACCCTTTCAGGAATGCGCTCATTGTGTACCAACACAACAAATAGAGAAGAGGTGTACCACACAACCATTGGCAAACATGTTGGCTCAAGACCTCCAGAGGGCATAGGGAAGCTCTCTTCCAGCCCCACATGCCTGCTACTGTGAGCCAGAGAGGTGGGTTGAAGAATGAGGGGGGGCTGCTATCTAGGAGTGAAGTTTAAAGGGGCAAGTTAAAGTCCAACTGTCCTCTTCTGTCTTGTAAGTTTCAGGCAGGTATTGAATTCTGTTCTAAATATACCCATTTCTTTCAGTGTAAAATAAGGATTCAACACACGCTCGTGCACAAACACTCACAGACCAAAAACTTAAAGTAGAATTACCATTCCTTAGAGAAGCCTCTTATTCACTTTGGTTTCACATTTTTTCTCCCTAATTCCTTGAAGCATATTTATGATGTGAGTATCGTGCTTGAACCTCTTCTATTCCAGGCTCCCTTCTGTTCTCTAACTCTCAGTGGAGTATTCCTAAGGCGTGACACTGAAGGGAGTCTCTTAATGGAAAGCAGAATTGTATGCATACCCATCAAGTTACGTTTTTACAAAAGATTTTGTTAATTATTAATACTAATGTCTTTATATTCTTTTATGGTACTTGAGACTATCAAAAATAAATGAGAAGTTTTCATTATACTATTTATGGTTATAATTTGCTTTATGCCATAAATTTATTGCTCTCTCTAGTGAGAGCTAAAGTAACATGGCTATGGGTGCTTTAAAAATAGGCTGTCTCAATTAACAGTTCAAGATGTGTTGGGTATCCAACTGAATTTTAGTTATGAGAAGTAAGTTTAAAGGTTCCTGTCAAGGGGATGTCAATTAGGCTCCAAGAGGCAAACTTTCCTGACAGTTTCTGTACAAAGCAGGGGTTACTGAGTAACTGCACCTATTGTTCAGAAATTGACCCCCACAGCAATGAAAAGCTGAGAGGAGAGGTGTGCAGAGAGTTAACAAAAAGAACCTCAATACAAAATGTCCAGGAAGCAGAAAAACTGAGAGGCCTGCAGTGAAAGGAACATTTTTTCTTGCCTAGTGACTTTTTTTTTCCCTCATTTGGCCAAAAAGAGGAGTCATGTAATTAAAGTATACTCGATAGATGCCAACTTTGACACATGACAAAGGCAAAGCTAGGAGATTTTGCTCATTTACTGGTAGAAATATCTGTATGCCAACTGTGATGGTAGTTATTTTCTGAAAGTATACATGTTAAATGCACAAAGAAAGCAACTAAGTATCTATTTCTTCATTCATACTTGGCTCATTTTTGCTTATCTAGTTACCTAGCATTTTACCTTGCACAGGGTAGGGACTAGGCAATCCACCCACTCGTTCATGCAACATATATAGCATTTATTAAACACCTACTGTGTTCTGGTGATGAGCATAAAGCAGTGAAGAAACAAAGGCCTTCATAGGGCTTGCATTCTGGTTATTACATTCTCTAGCTGCAGCCTGGAGAATCAGTGAACATAAAATGTAGTGCTCATGACTCAAACTAGAACCAATGACCTGGGTTTGTTTGAAAGTGTGCTCTGCCACTTCTGAACTGGGTAACCCTGGGCAAGTTTCTTAAGCATTAGAAGCCTGTTTCTTTATCAATAAAATGGGATTACAATGAGGTAATATGTGTGTGTGTGTGTGTGTGTGTGTTAACGTAAGTGCTAAGATCAATGTTTGACACTAGAAAGTATCATATAAGTGTCAGGTATTCTTATTAAAGGAAATTGCTCAAAATTTAATGCATGGATAGGTAGTCCTCAATTATAAAGGGTAGAGGCCAGAGAAACCAAGACAATAAAACCGAAGTGTCAAATGCACCTAAATAGACAACTGAGGCTTATATTACTTGTTCAAAGAAGATTGTAGAAGGCAAGAAAGAGCATAACTCAATGGTTAAGCTAGTTACATATATCTCTGACCCTCAGTTTCTTCTTTTTATTTTTTAAGATTTTATTTATTTATCTGAGAGAGAACATGAGCAGTGGGAGGGTCAGAGGGAGAAGCAGACTCCCCAGTGAGCAGGGACCCAGACCTGGGGCTTAATCCCAGGACCCTGGGATCATGACCTGAACAAAAGGCAGACATTTAACCAACTGAACCAACTGAAACCAGGCTCCCCAGACTTCAGTTTTTTTCATCAAAGGTGATAAAATACTTTCTTCATAGAGGTTCTATGAGGATTAAAGGAAATGATGTGTGCAAAGTGCTCTGCACAGGACCTAGCTGAGAATGAGCATTTACTGAACAGGAGCTATTTAAGCTGTAACTTATTGCAATGAATTGACATCATTTATTTAGTTATTGACATTACATTTCAATTCAAAAAGGACTTAAGGAAACTTTTTCAATGAGAACAGTTCTCTCTCTCTCTTTTTTTCCCTTGTTCTTTTGAGAAAGGGAGAGAGAGTGTGAATGAGTGGAGGGAAGGGACAAAAGGAGAGAGAAAGAGGGAGATAGAGAATCTTAAGGGGGCTCCAGACACAGTGTGGAGCTCAACGCAGGGCTCAACCTCACAACCCTGAGATCATGACCTGAGCTGAAATCAAGAGTCACATGCTTACCTAACTGAGCCACCCCAGCACTCTATCAATGAAAACATTTCTAAATACCATTAAACATTGATCTTACAGGAGAAAAACACTTTATTGCTCAGTCAAATTATGTATATTAAAGGTTAGTATTATTACTCCATTAAAAAAGAGATATTTCCAGTAACTTTTCTCAGAGTCTAGAAAAAGATTATCCAACCAGTCAAATTTATAAAGTAGGATCAAATGTACATGAACCTACATAAACCTACTCTTGAATTGTGTCATAATATATTTTAATTCTCTTTACTGCTCAATGTTTATATCTGTGTTCATAAGTGAAATAGACCTTTTTAACTTTTTATATTTCCTTTTAGTAATAGGTTAATAATTGACTTCATGTAATGAGTTAAGCTTTTTTTTGTTTTCTAGATTTTTTAAAAATGACAATAGTATTCTCTATTTTTTTTAATTTTTATTTTTTATAAACATATAATATATTTTTATCCCCAGGGGTACAGGTCTGTGAATCGCCAGGTTTACACACTTCACAGCACTCACCATAGCACATACCCTCCCCAATGTCCATAACCCCACCCCCCCTCTCCCAACCCCCCTCCCCCCAAGGTATCATGCTTAGCGAAATAAGTCAATTGGAGAAAGACAACTGTCATATGATCTCCCTGATATGAGGAAGTGGAGATGCAACATGGGGGGGGCAAAGGGGGTAGGAGATGAATAAATGAAACAAGATGGGATTGGGAGGGAGACAAACCATAAGTGACTCTTAATCTCACAAAATAGTATTCTCTATTTATTTATTTTTTTAATGCCCTGATACCACATGAGAATGTTTTTCTAATGCCGCTATAGCATTTTATTATCACAACCTAGTAGATCTTGAGTGTGCTAACAGATTATTAAAAGTAAATAAGAGGGGCGCCTGGGTGGCTCAGTGGGTTAAAGCCTCTGCCTTCGGCTCAGGTCATGATCCCAGGGTCCTGGGATCGAGCCCCGCATCAGGCTCTCTGTTCAGCAGGGAGCCTGCTTCCCTTCCTCTCTCTGCCTGCCTCTCTGCCTACCTGTGATCTCTGTCTGTCAAATAAATAAATAAATAAAATCTTTTTTAAAAAAAAAAGTAAATAAGAAAAATTTTAAGAAAAAATAAATATTAAAAATTAAAAAAGAGATTTTAATTTCTCAAATTTTTGCACCCATGTACTTACTTAAAAGCAAAACAAAATAACAGATATCAGATCAAGAGCTGCCGTTTCTTATAAGAGATTCCTTGTGAGACATTCTTGGCAGTAAAGATGAGCTTATATCAAAAAACCAAAACAAAAGTTTTTCTTTAAAAATTTTGGTTTTCTACTGAATTCCATCTGAAATGCAAAGTTATATTACAATCTCAAAAATGCACTAGTAAATAATTATAGTAATTATATATAAGTAATAATAGTCATATAAACTAAGGAATGTTCTCAGATCTGATGTGGTTTCAAAGTACAAAAAATTTTAGTCATAGCCTTGGTGATGCCAGTCTTTGTGCCAGCTTTCTAGAAACAAATAAAATAACAGGTAAGGATGGCATTGAAAACAGATGTAACCCGGCTTCAAGATATGCAGGCAGACTTCTAACAAATTCTGACTCATTATTTATGGAGTTCAAGGGAAAGTTCCTTTGAAAGGCAGTTTCTTGGCTTAATAAAAGCTCCATTTCTCTAATGGTTTAGTAACACTAAAAAAGAAAAATGCAACTGATTTTGTGATTAAGTGTATTTTGAAATACATCACCCGCTAACCTCAAATTGTATTTATGATTCGCTTTTCATCACTACCTCTACCTACCTCCATCTTTCTCTTTCACAGAAAAAATTATGACATCAGCATCCAAAGGAATTCTCCGCCCATTTTTAATCGTCTGCATTATCCTGGGCTGCTTCATGGCATGTCTGCTCATTTACATCAAGCCTACCAACAGCTGGATCTTCAGTCCAATGGAGTCAGCCAGCTCAGTGCTGAAAATGAAAAACTTCTTCTCCACCAAAACTGATTATTTTAATGAAACTACTATCCTGATTTGGGTGTGGCCATTTGGGCAGACCTTTGACCTTACATCTTGCCAAGCAATGTTCAACATCCAAGGATGCCATCTCACAACAGACCGTTCTCTGTACAACAAATCTCATGCAGTTCTGATCCATCACCGAGACATCAGTTGGGATCTGACTAACTTACCTCAGCAGGCTAGACCACCCTTCCAGAAATGGATTTGGATGAATTTGGAATCACCAACTCACACGCCCCAAAAAAGTGGCATTGAGCACCTGTTCAACTTGACTCTGACCTACCGCCGCGACTCAGATATCCAAGTGCCTTACGGCTTCTTGACGGTGAGCACAAACCCCTTCGTGTTTGAAGTGCCAAGCAAAGAGAAGTTAGTGTGCTGGGTTGTAAGTAACTGGAATCCTGAGCACGCCAGGGTCAAGTATTACAATGAGCTAAGCAAAAGCATTGAAATCCATACCTATGGGCAAGCATTTGGAGAGTATGTGAATGATAAAAATTTGATTCCTACCATATCTACTTGCAAATTCTATCTTTCTTTTGAAAACTCAATCCACAAAGATTACATCACAGAAAAGCTCTATAACGCTTTTTTAGCTGGCTCTGTACCTGTTGTTCTGGGGCCATCTAGGGAAAATTATGAGAATTATATTCCAGCAGATTCATTCATTCATGTGGAAGATTATAACTCTCCCAGTGAGCTAGCCAAGCATCTGAAAGAAGTTGACAAAAACAATAAGTTATACCTTAGTTACTTTAACTGGAGGAAGGATTTCACAGTGAATCTCCCACGATTTTGGGAATCACATGCATGCTTGGCTTGTGATCACGTGAAAAGGCATCAAGAATATAAATCTGTTGGTAATTTAGAGAAATGGTTTTGGAATTAAAGTTTTCCATCATTTGCACACTTGGAAAAATTATTTTGATGAGCTATCATCCAAGTTTTGAGGATAAGAAGAGAGACAACATTCTGCTTTTGTGTCACAATTTATTTTTATCACTCTCTCTTGGGTAACATGTACACTTTGATGGAGATTTCTGAGAGCTCAGCACTAGCAATCACTCCCTTTGGTTTTAAAATTATCCTGTATATACCTAATTATGTGCACTGAAAATTAATTTATTCTTTGCTACCATTTGTAAACATTGTTTTTCACATTTTGGTAGTTGTTTGTAATGTACATTCGTGATATGATTGTTGTTTCTACATTGGTCAGCTGTTTAAGCTATTTGGGAGATGACAATGCACATCTTAAAATATGAAATATTTTCACTAAATACCATGATCTCTAGTTCCAAGTTTGCCTAATATAACAAAGGAAAGGTATTTGTAACTGAGTTCTAACCTCTTTGACTTCAAAGTGAACAAAGTGTGTAACTGTCTCTATTAGATATACTTTTTACCTGCTTGCCACATTTTTTGTGAAGGGAGAATTATTCATGTAGTGAATTAAAAAGATGGTGAAGCTGAACTGTTTTTTTTCAGGAAGGTATTAGACTTTTCATTTATTTTCATTAAGCAGTCTTGCAAATGCAGCCACTTGTTCTCAAGATCTTAAGTTAAATTATTCAAGTATTTCTAAATATCCAATTTGGCGGGATTTGTAGAACTTGGGAAATAATCCTGACAATACATAAGAATATCTAGGATAGTTCTCTTCCCAATCCTTACACTTACTATTATAATAAAACAAATAATTTCCTCAAATAACAAAGGAAAAGAATGTGTATAGATACAAATCGTATTTATAAGCGGTACATTTATGTATAATCTTGAATAACATAAAAATTTAAAATATTTTTTCCAAGCCCCAATATTTAAAAGTTTCATTTTACCATGTGGACAAATAAATAGACAAAACATTTTAAAGGTTTGCTCTCACATTACAAGAACCTAAATAAAATTATCATTAAGGTGTTATGCAGAAGATATTAAACAAAGTGGGGATCTATAGGTAATACACAGTTCTAACCCAGAGTACGATCTCAATGCACATTTATTAAATGAAGAAATGAATGTCCGTGAAAATCATGGGAAAATTTTTGTTTGCTTCAAGAAAGTGATAGTTCTAGTGTAAAAATATTAACTGGATATGATGTTTTATATTTCATTTTCATAATTTTTCATATATAGCACTTGTGACCATGGCCCTCAGAGCTTTACAGAACCAAAACAAACATGCCATTACACTAAGTTCTTGGAAGATTCATCCCTGAACCTGCAGTTGTACACAACAATTTTCCTCTGTAAGGTTAAGAGCTGGATATAAGCAGAGATTAGTAGGTGAAAAAAGATGGGATGTTAAGGATTCTTCAAGAAAAACATGTCCCAAAAGAATCTTTAATGACTATTCCATTCAGGCCAAAACCCATCAAAACAACTGGAGTGTTCTGATGACATCTTTTTGGATCTAATTGTGACATATTCTAATAGTCCTGTTACATGTTAACATTAGTAGAATACAAATCCACCATCTTCTACATCAAATGGAAGTTAGATAGAGACAAACTTGAGTTCAGTAAGTAGGACATATGTCCATTGCCCCAGACTGCCTTGTGTGGGAATAAGCTCTCTGGAGCTCTAGGAGGAGTGGACCAGAGGAAGATTCTGGCATGAGATGGAGGACTGTTTGATCCACAGATTCATTTCTTTACCCATGTCAAACAGGCATGTTGTGTCAGGCAATGCCCTAACCAGAGATAAAGAAGAACAAGTTACTGTCACTGCCCTACAGGAGCTTACAGTTAAGTGGAGAGATAGATGAAAGCTTTCTTTGAGTCTGTGTTAATGCACGTACTCCTCTCAATGGAGTTTATATGAGGCACTGTTGATTTAATGAAAATAAGATAGCATATTTCCTCCGTTGCTCAGGGATTTGACGTATTTCTGAGCTGCAAACTTTGTTCACTCATTTCACTACTCACTGATGTAGGTTCCCTCCATATTATGTCTTCTAACACATCACATCAAGAAGTGGTGTGTCTGTGTGGATGCCCTCGTAGATAAAGATAAATCTCACCTACGTTTATTTCATCAGGTTAAAAAGTCTAATTCATACATTTACACAGACTTTGTCATCCTTTTGTCATCCTACAAAAAGTGTAGGGTTCTAAACAGGTTGCATGGCTAACATGTTTAGAAAGCACCTGCTTTCCTCAAAAGTAGCGAAGCATTCAGTGTCTTGACAACCCATCTTGGCTCATGATTTCAAAGAACTAAGAAACCTGGGGGCATCACCTCTCTTGCCGAATATGAATTTGGTCTCTTTTTTAGACTGAGTATAATCACACGCTGATAATATGACTCAAGCCAAGGCAATAATACTATGTCACTAACTGACACATCTATATATTGAAAACCCATTACCAGGTCCCAGAAGAATAACTTTTCTGAATTTGAAGTGCCAAAATGAATGAGTCAACTTAGCCCATCAGTTCTGGGAGTATTTATTTGTAAGTTTTAGGGCTAGATGGTATTATAGCAATGTTTATAAACCAATCCCTTGATTCTACTTATGGATTAACCAGATCCAGAGACAACATTTATTCAAGAAATATGTTCACACACACACACACACACACACACACACACACACACACACACACAGCTAGTGACATATCCAAGACTGGAATGTAAGGGTGCCCTATCTCTCAATGCTATGTTATTTTTCATTGTATTCTCATCTAACCATAGAAGTACATCTCAATTCATAAAAATGTGAATGCCTTATTGGTCTAATTAAGGCCTATGGAATGGTACACTCTATGTGGAAGCACTTTGACTTTTGAAAAAAGTATATAGAAATACAACATCAAACTTGTTAGCATTCTTTCTGTTTTAAATATTTTAGGAGATGAGCTTTAGCAGAAGGAAATGGATTTTGACTACATTTTAAGTGAAATGTGACCCTCAAAGATGGTATATGGTTCTGAGGCACTCCATTAATAAATACCATGGATTGCAATTCTTTTAAAGGATATCTCCTGGTGAAAGATATGGATTCAACAAAATTAGCTTGCTTTTGGTTATAAAAACAAATAATTATGCCAGAGGATAAACTGTGGATATAAAAACAGAATAGACCGCTTAAAAAGTTTTGTTCCAAATTATAAAAAATCTTTAATGGTCTGAATATTAAATGTTAATTATTATAGGCCTTACTAGTAAGAATATATAAATATTATTATAGGTCTTCTTTGTAAGAATATATACTGAATTCTCCATATCCAACAGTATTAAACTCCTAAAAAAAAAAAAAAAAAGACATGACAGTCATATTATATGGCAGCCATAAATTTTAGAAGTAGAGACTGGAAAAAAATTATCTTAGTGGGAAACCAATATCAGCTTAAAATTTTGCACTTACTACATGTCTTGATAATCCTAGAATGTGCAGAGATGCTTTCTGTTGTGAAGGCTTAGAAAGCTCAGAGCACTTGATGTATAAAGTGACAAAATATTTAGGAATTATTTGCTGAGGCTTTAAATTCTTGCCTCCAATTGGAGGTTAAATATGGTAAGAATAGGAAATTATACAATTGATATCTTTTTGATTGCCTATTTTCAAACTAGATTCCGTGAGTCTTAAGGTAATGCCTTTGCCTTTGTCTAGAAAATGTCTTTGCATGAAGTAATGTTACCAAAACAAGGTTTAGGTCCTTACATTATGACCTTGTGACATTATGACCTTAACCATACCTTTGAGTTCCCTTGAACTCTGATCTCATTTAGGGGAGCTTCTTAACAAATTAATTACTATTGAACTCTTAAATATAAAAACTTCAGGATCTTAAAGATAAGCACAGTGCCTATCACAGAGAGGGATCTCAACAAATATTTGTTCAATGAATAAAGAAATTGCATTGGAGGTCATGCAGAATTTTATTAAAGTGTGGTAACAGTTCTAGCTTATTGGTACCAGTTAGAGATTATATTTTATATTTATTTCTTTGGTCAATTTACTGACTGGATGCAAAGGAAGTCTTTATGTCCTTCCAATCTTCCTGCATCCTAGCAACCCAAAAGAAGTAACATTTCAAGAAAGATTTTAAAGGATTTGGAACTTGTTAACATTCTATTCAAATATGAACACCAACTGTTTCTAATAGGAAAGACAATTAGTATTTGAGGAGAATATAAAGTGCGAGCACCGTGAAGGGCACATATTTACTACCAAACTGTGCACGGAGGAAAATGCAGTTTCTTTCCCACCTAACTGCACTCCTTTGTACTGCAAACATCAGTCAGTTAAGTTGATACTTTTTTCTAGATGCCTCTCATCTAAAGATTTTGTAGCATTTTGCAAATGGGTAAGCTCAACTACAATCCAAAGTGTTCTCCCTCTCAGTAATTCATATTGAATGCATCCATATTCATAAGCATTATACAGAGCAGTTAACAGAACAAAAATGAGAGAGAGTCTGCTAAACCAGACAATGCTAGGCTGGGTTATTGGTTCAACAAACTCATTTTCAGAAATCCAGCTAACCTCTCTGGACCTTGTTGTTTGCAAGGCTCCTTCTGGAGTTGTTTCTCTCTCATCTAAGATCTAAACTGACAATATGCATGTATTTGCAAATGAAATTCCAAAGACCATATCATTTTTTGAAGGTTAATATTTCAAATGGATGTCCCTCTTACTTCTCTGAATAGACATTTAAAGTGTAAAACAGATTATTTCAACTAATATGTGGAAAGAACCTAACCCTGTGCTTAGAGTATAGCAAGTGTTCAATTAACTGAACTTCTTCCTTTAACTCCTTACCCTTTGTTCTCTACCTCACCTTTTGTAATTCATATACTCATGACTCATGGAGACCTTAATTGCCTACAGAAAACCAACCATATATTGAGCATTATTTTAAAATAATTTTAAAAGATTTTTCTG